AGTAATTCCTTGAGATTTTCTTTGTGCACAATTATATTGTTTGTGAATAATAATTTTTATAATAATAATAATAGCTTGTCTTATTGCATTTGGCTCGGTTCTTTGGCATAATGCTAAATAGAAGTGATTATAATGCACACTCATGGCTCCATTCCTAATTAATGCAGGCTTCTACTTTTTAATAAGTAGTTATAAGATTTTATAAAGTAATTTTTGTTCAAGTTGAAACAATAGTGTGTTTTACTTGGCTCATTTGCTAGTGTGCTGAATTATATTGGTTAGCTTGCTGGTGTTACACAGTCCTTGTATTACCAGAAAAATTCAAGTTGGTTGTAATATATTATTATTTTTCTTTTTTCTTTTTAATTCTATCTCAGGATGTGGTTTCAAAATCTTGTGTTTGGATTTTGTGTTTTGGAGCTGAAGAGATGCCTCAGCAGTTAAGAGCACTTGCTGCTCTTGCAGAGGACCTGAGTTCAATTCCTAGCACCCACATCTAGTGGCTCACAGCTGCCTGTAACTCCAGCTCCAGAGAATCTGACACCCTCTCCTGGCCTCCTCAGGCACCTGCACTCACATGTGAACATGCCCCATCATAGATATACACTTGCACATTAAATTAAAAAATTTAAAGATTTCTGGGGCTGGAGAGATGGCTCAGCAGTTAAGAACACTGACTGTTCTTGCAGAAGACCTGGGTTTGAATCCCAGTACCCACACGGCAGCTAACAACTGTCTGTAACTCCAGTTCCAGGGGATCCAATGGCCTCTTCTGTTCTCCAAGGGCATTGCACGACATGGGTGCACTTACCTACATGCAGGCAATACAAGCATACATGTAAAATAAAAATAAATAAAAAACTTAAAGATAACAAATATAGAATTTGTATCTTCAGCCATGTGATATGGCTGCTTGTAATTTTCCATTTTTATAAACACGTTGCTGGGTCTTTGTGTCAGGTTATGCTGTCCTTATAAATTGAGTTAAAATGCATTCTGTTTTTTGTATTTTTTGGAAGAGTTTATGTAAAAGAGTTTATTAGAGTGTTTGAAATAATTTACTGGTGAAGCCATCTGGGTCTTTCAGAAAACTTTGTAATCAAAGAGTAACTTTTTTAAAAAATGGATTAATTCTTAAAGCATCAGTTTTGGTAAACTGAAGTTTCTAAAATGTCCATTACATTTAAATTAGTTAGTATAAGTTATTTATCTATCTCAAAAATTTAGTTTGGCTTTGAACTGTGATTGAGCCCCCTCGGTCTGCTGAGTGCTGGGATTCTGGCATTCCTGGCTAAATGTATGTATTATATCTTCTTCTGTTATTATTTTAATGCCTTTGAGTTTTAGGTATCTCCTTTTAAATTTGGTTCTAGTAGTAGTTATTTTCATCTTTTGTCTCTTTTTTACTTGCTTATTTGTATGAGGGAATTATGTTATTTAAAGAATCAGCTTTTACAGCCACGCATGGTGGTGCATGCCATTAATCCCAACACTAGGGAGGCAGAGGCAGGCAGATCTCTGTGAGTTCAAGGCCAGCCTGGTTTACATAGAGAGTTCCAGGTCAGCTGGGGCTACAGGGAGACTGTGCTGGATAGCTTTAGTGTCAACTTGACACACCTGAATTGAGGGAACCTCAATAGGGGAATTACCTCCATTGGACTGGCCTGTGGCCATGTCTGTGGGGTTATTGAGTGACATGGGAGGGCCCAGCCCACTGTGGGTGGTGCCACCCCTGGGCAGGTGAACCTGTGTTATGTAAGAAAGCAGGCTGAGTAGGAGCCAGGGGAACAAGTCAGTAAGCAGCATTCCTCCATGGCCTGTGTTCCAGCTCCTGCCTCCAGATTATGGCCCTGAGTTCCTACCTTGGGCTCCCTGATGAACTGTGACCTGGGAGATATAAGCCAAATAAACCCTTTCCTCCCCAAGTTGTTATTGGTCAGAGTGTTTTGTCACAGCAATGGAGAAGCAAACTAGGACAGAGACCCTGTCTCAAACACACACACACACACACACACACACACACACACACACACCACACACAAAGAATCAGCTTCTGTTGATTGGATATCTATATGTTTGTTTCCCATTCCATTATTTTATGATTTTTATTTCTTACTACTTTCTACTCTGAGAAGTTTTCTTTTTTTCTTTCCTGTTTATTACTTAGAACACTGATTCTCTTCTATTTTAATTTTAATTTAATTTTTGCACTGCCATCTGTGCAATGTCACATATGTATGCCTCGCACAGGGACCACTCTCACCTTCCACTGCCCTCTTTGACCTACCTTCTAGCTTTTACATACTTCCCAAGCCCTCTTCCGCAATGTTCCCTGAGCTGTAGAGGGGGTGGTACAAGTAACTAGGGCTGGGCCCAATCACTGGGTATTCTCTGCACCTTGGGAAGTCATGAGCCTGCATTCACCACTGTTCTTTGTAAGAAGAGACTTCTCTAATTGAGGCTGGAGCTGCTATGAGGCCAAGCATGCATATTTAACACGAGGTTTGCTGCTATGTCAGCTTAGTTAACCCTAAGAAATATGCTCCCTGCCTGGCCTTCTACCTCCCCAGACTTGCCTGGACTGTTAGCCAGGTTTACCGTCTGACACATTGGTGTTCTCTATTCTCTGTGGAGTGGATCTTGAATCCATTCAGAGGGTAGTTGGTTACCCTTCCCCAACAGTGAAGCCACTATCCTGAAAGTGAGCAAAGGTTACTTTCCAAATGTTTTCTTTACACTCCCTTTATTTGGTTACTCTTCCCCCATCTCACACACTCACACACACTCATCTCCCCAACTCCCCTGCCACCTCTCCCTACCTAAACCTTTCTACCTATTACACCTCTTCAACTAACTAAATTTTTTTTTAAGCTATGAAGAACACTGATTTTCAGGTCCCCCCACCATGCATGTAGAGGTCAGTGTCAATACTGAGTGTCTTGTAAGTCACACACCCATTTCGCTAGACTGGCTGGCCAGCAGACCTCAGGGATCTTCCTGTCTCCACCTCGAGATGCTGGCGCGTGAACTCAGGTCCTTATGTTTGTGCAGCCAGCATTTTTTCTACACTGAGCTATCGTCCCAATCCTACCAGTTCCATTTCTTACATCCAGTAAACATGTAAGAGGATAAGCAAAGACAAGCAAATAAAGATTGCTCTCCTTTTGTCACTCATTAGGGACCAGCAACATCTTTGTTAGCTATGTTTGTTTTAGGCAATGTTTGTCATCTCTCCTGGCTCTATGAGATCTGTGGAAGGCACCTGTATTCTGTCCTAGTGCAAAGCTACCCTCCTGCGCTGGCCTGCTGAAGAGCCCCAAGGTGTTATTCCAGATGGTAATTCAGATGTTAGGTAGTTTCAGGGATTACCGCGTCCCATGCACTGTACCAGCAGGTGGCAAAAACACTTCGAAACTAGAATAGCACTGTGGATAGGGTGGACGAGGAGTGACTCAGTCTGCAGCAGGGAGGAAAGGAGAAGACTTCAAGGTAGGAGGCCTAGCAGGGAAGCTTTGTCCTGCCTTCTCTTCCTCTCTTCCCTTCCATTCTGGAAACACTCATACTTGGTATTCAGTTTGGAACATTTTTTCTTACGTTAATTTCTATTTATCTTTATACATCCAGAAATGTCAGTGATACACACAATAGCCCATGATGCTGACAAATGTGTGCTGGGGAGAATTAAAGCAGCCAAAGGAATTGGGTTCTGCCCCAGAATCAGTCTTCCTTTCAGGGTACCATGATAGCAGCGCCCTGGACAAGCTCCATCCTTCTTGGAGATGCATCACAGCCAGCATCACAGCTAGCAGCCTGCTGTACTACCTTCCGCCCCACAGACTGGAGGAAGGTGCTTTTGAAGGGGAGAATGATCCTCATTACACTGGATGCTTACTGCAAAATCGACACAGTCATGGAACCATCATGTTTGAATTGGATGAGAGGTGGGAGGATCTGACAGAGCCCGGGGAGAGAGAGGCAACTGAGGTGACTCATGGCACATGGTCCAATCCTGCCTCTAGTTAAAACTGAAGGGTAGATTTTTTTCCATCATGGATATTTTATTTTACTTTGGAGGCTTTTAAATCTTGCATGGAATTTTTATTTAACTTGATCAGTGAAGATTTTGATACTTAAAGTTTGGACCCTAAGCAAGTATTGCATTTGCCCTTGTTCTATATCACATGTCACACATGTATACATGTATGCATGTATGCATGCACATATGCATGACCATGCGCACATGTATACATACATGTGCACACACCTTGAACCCTATGTTCCCTTTCTATAACACAATACAGTTGGTCTCCCGTGCCTATACAATGACTACATCCCCTGCTTCTGAGGTGTCATCCCGGTGCCCCCCCCCCCACCTATCAAACTCTATAAATAAGCTTTCAGGACTTAAAAGCAGCATTAACCATCTTCCTAGAAAGAAATAATCACTGCTTTCCTCCTGCTGTTTCTTCACCCTATGTAAACATCGCTCTTGTACTCATCACACAGGATTTCAGCAATTTGTCCATCTCCCTAACGATGGTGGATGCCCTTTAAGGCAGGCATCTTGTCATCCTGAGATCTTCTTTCCAGCTGCTGTCACATAATAGATGCTCACGAAAACACACATCCAGTGCTAAATGAAAGCAGGGCATTGTCTCCATTTCACGGAAAATGAAATAAAGTGCAGAAGCTTATTCAAGGTCACACTGGGTCAGTGGGGCTCCAAGCCAGGTCTTCTGATGCCCAGGGCCAGCACCACTCGTGCTACTCTGAATAAACACAGCTCTTTGTAGCAGACAGGCCCCTGAGCTCAGTGGGAAGTCAGCACCCCTGCAGATCCGTGCATTGCTGCCCACATCTTGCATGCACACCCTCTACCCTCTTGCCAGCCCTTCAGAATTCCTCTCCCTCCTCTTCCTCTCTCCAAGGAGGCTGACTCATCTGGATCCCAAGCAAAGTTCCTGGACTGCAGCCCTGCTGGAGCTGACCACCAACATTCTCTGATCACCGTGGCAAGTTTGCTGAGATAAAAGACCTCTCCCATCTACAGAGCAGAGAGTAGAGTACAGCCAGCAGCTCTGGGAGCAGATGGATGCCTGATGTACCCAAGGTGTGTTGCTTTCAGATGGAAGGTTTTGCAGCATGAAATGTTCTGTTCTTCACAGGACTTTTTTTTTTTTTGGAAAGCCACAGGTCCTAAAAAGGGAGCTGCTCAGGCAGTCAAAAAGCAGATTTTTTTTTTTTGGTGGTCTTTTTTCCCTCTTTTCTTTATTTTTAACCTTCTTCTGACTCTGCCAGTCTGTGTCTCTCGCTCACTCCTGGAGCTTTCTTTTCAATACTGGTCATTCGTGGAGTTGGCTCTGCCCTCTCTGCTTGTGACTGGTGGGTGAGCGGTGCCGCCTCTGTCTAATGAGGGGCCCTCCAGGCCTGGCTGCCCTCGTTTTTGATACCTGGGGAGAGGATGTGCAGGCAAGGGGCAATTGGATCAGAAAGGCCTCAGTGAACAGACATCACAGCCAAGCTCAAAGAGCGCAGGAAGTGGAACAAAGAACAAAAACATTTACAGAAGTGCCACAGTGTAAGGGGAAAAGAACTAGCAACTCTAACAAGGTCAATGGTGAGGGAAAGATTTTTTGAAAGGAATTGCTGAGGGGAAAAAAAGAGAGAGAGAAACCTCAAAAAGGGGCCGAGGGCTCCCTGAGTTGGGCTTGCCGGTTGGCTCCTAGAACACTTTCCTTGATATCCTCCCAGGAAGCCCTGTTTCTCCAAGACTTCAATACACTGGAAAAGTTTATGCAACTGGTTAGAAGGAGGGTTAGAAGTTGTGAGTCACCAGCAGCTGCTCTGTGTGTGTCTGCTTTCAACATGGGCTTCCTGTGGGACCACATCAATGGAGGCTTTGGGTTCTTTGGCATGTGCTGGATTTGGGCTATGAGAGTGGTGTGTGTGTGTGTGTGTGTGTGTGTGTGTGTGTGTGTGTGTGTGTGTTGGGATATTAGGGTAGTATAAGGTGCAGAGAGTCTCGGTCCTCAATGTTGAAAGAGAACATGAAGGAGTCAAGTAGAAGTCATACTTAAGTTCCATGATCTGGGGCAAGCTTCTTGGGTAGAGGAAGTGCTTGTGTGTGCACATACATGTAGAGGCCAGAGGTCAATCCTGGGTGTCATTCCTCAGAACACCATCCACCTTGTGCTTTTAGATAGGGTCTCTCAGGTCTGAAACTCAACAATTTGTCTAGGCCGACTGGCTGGCCTAGGCTCACTTCTGCCTTTCCAGCACTGGGATTGTAAGTGGCCACCATCATATACGGTTTTTTTTTTTTTTTACATGAGTTTTTTTACATGGGTTACTTAGGACTTCATGCTTGCATAGCAAGTGCTTTAATGAGCTATCTTCCTCCCAGCCCCTTCCAGCACCCTGAGCCTCATTTTCCCCATCTGTAAATATGTTAGAGCATAATCTTGTTTGCAGCTTTATTCTGTGGCTGCTGATGCCCAACCTGCATTCCACAAGATTCCCTCAACATTGCTAGTTTTTTTACATGGGTTACTTAGGACTTCATGCTTGCATAGCAAGTGCTTTAATGAGCTATCTTCCTCCCAGCCCCTTCCAGCACCCTGAGCCTCATTTTCCCCATCTGTAAATATGTTAGAGCATAATCTTGTTTGCAGCTTTATTCTGTGGCTGCTGATGCCCAACCTGCATTCCACAAGATTCCCTCAACATTGCTAAAATAAAATTCACGGAGTCTTGAGCTCTTTGAAAGCTTACTTCTTAGGAGATTTCTAGTGATGCACACGGTCTTAGACACACTGCTCAATGGCAGCTTGTTTTGTGAGTTGTCTGTTGCAAATATTTTCATTGTGTTTCTTCTTGCAATCCAGCAAGCTTTAGTATTGTTTCTCTTTCCGTTCCTTTATGTGTACTTTATAACACAATCTATTTGAAAATCATCCTCTGAGAAGATCCAGAGAGCTGTGCGTGGTGGTACACATCTTTAATCCCAGCACTCAGGAGGCAGAGGCAGGTGGATCTCTGTGAGATCGAAGCCAGCCTGGTCTCTATAGTGAGTTCCAGGCTAGCTGGGGCTACAGGAAGACACTGTCTCAAAAAAAAAAAAAAAAAAAAAAAAAAAAAAAGAAATGAGAAAATAAGACTGCCCTATGCATAACTACATCAAATCAAAGGTATTGATTTCTTTCTAGCCCTCCATATAAGTTATATAAATTTGTTTATCACTGGCTGTCCCTTCCCACATTCCAGAATATAAATGCATGAGAGTACAATTTTAACACATTTTTTGGGGATTATTTTTTGGTTTTATTTTTGTTTTACACAGAGTCTCCCTGTAGCCCCACCTGGCCTAGAACTTGCTATGTAAACCAAGCTGACCTCAATCTCACAGAAATCCTCCTCCAAATATTTTTTATTCTAATTTTATGCATATAAGCATTTGCCTGCATGTATATGTGTACCATGTGCATACAGTGCCCACCAAGGCCAGAAGAGGGTGTAAGATCCCTGGAACTGCAGTTACAGACAGTTGTGAGCTGACATGTGGGCCCTTGGAATTGGACTTCGAACCTTTGCAAGAGCAGCCAGTGTTCTTAACTGCTGAGCCATCTCTCTAACCCCTTCATATAGTTTTGCTTTCTTTTTTTTTTAATTTTAGAAGAATCTTGGAGCTATAAAACAGGTGCAAATGGGCTGGAAAGATGGCTCAGAGGTTAAGAGCACTGACTGCTCTTGCAGAGGACCCAAGTTCAATTCCCAGCACCCACATGGTGGCTAACAACATCTATAAGTCCAGTTCCAGGGGAATTCAACGTTCTCCTCTGACCTCCATGGGAATTGCATGACACAGGTACACTTACACACATGCAGGCAATACACTCATACATAATAAATTTTTAAAAAACTATTGGCTATTGTCATTACACTTGGGTTACCCACCCGAACTTGACAGTAAGACCCTATTGAAATAAATAAAAGGATTGCAAAGGTAAGTGTATTTCCATGCACCCCACATGCAGTTTCCCATACTGTTAACTTCTTACACTACTATGGTAGTAATAGACTTGTTTTTTCTTGCTATAACAGATTATGACAGACTATGTACTTTATAAAGGGAAAAAGTCCATTTGTGATCCTGGTGACTGAACCCAGGGCCATGTATATGTGAGGCAAGTGCCTTTCCACTGAACGACATTCCCAGCCCTAAGAGCTCATGATTCTGAAGAAGGAAAGCCTAAAAATGTGGCAACAGCATCTATTTGTGTTTCCTCAGGGTGAAAAGCAGAAAGACAAGAGAGTACAAACTAGGGAAATACAGCAGTGGGGGCAGACTGGCTTTATAGTCCGGTGGTAGTTAACCCACTCCCTAGATAATGACATTGACCCATTCATGGAGGCCACCCATGACCTAAAGACCTCTCACTTGACCCAATCTCTCAGCATTACTACATGGGGGAATCAGGTTGCCAACCCATGGACTTGAGGGATACATCCAGACCATAACATGTACATTTGTCATGGCTAAAAGAAAAAAAAAATTAGTATAGTACTATAAATTAAACTGGGGCTTTTCAGATTTCATTTATTTTTCCAAAAATCCTTGTGTTAGCCAGGTTTCTATTACTATAACAAAATATCTGACATAATCTATAGAGAGAAAGGTTTATTTTGGCTCACAGGTTTGCAAGTTTCAGTCCATGGCTAGTTGGCCCCTTTCTTCCAGTCCTATGGTGTGGCAGTATGCCACAGCAGGAGTGCATCATGGAACAAGTCACTCATCTCACTGCAGAAGGAAGCAAAAGAGAGACATAAAGTGACCAGTGTCCCATGGTCCTTTAAAGCCATCCCCTCAAACACCTAAAACTTCCAGTAGACCCCAACCTCTGAATGGTTTCCACCACTTTCCATCAATGGTCAGGCTGAGGATCAAATCTTTAATCTTTTGGAGGATATTAAGATCCAAACTCTGGGGCTGGGTGAGACAGCTCAGTGGGTAAAGCATTTGCTGTACAAGCATGAAGACCTGAGTTCAGATCCCCTCAAACCCACATAAAAGCTGGGCGTGGCAGCATGCATCTGTAACTATACTAGTGGTGGTGGTGACTGGGGGGACATCAGGTGGATCCCAGGAGGCTTGCTGGCCAGCTAGCCTGGCTGAAATGGTGAGTTCTATATTCAGGGAGTGACCCTGTCTCAAAAAATAAGGTCAAGAGAAATTGAATAAGACATCAATATCAAGCAATGGCCTCCACATGTACTTTCACAGGGGAGCATAGCCCCTCCCCATGTTCACACACACACACACACACACACACACAACACACACATACACATACATACACACACGATTCAAACTCTAAAAGGTCCTTTTTCTGTTTCAAGGTCACACCCAGAATCCTACTTTATTTTTGTTTTTTAAATATTTTTCCTTTTTTGAGAATTTCATACCTAAGTGTGGTATCTATGCCATTTCTAGCCCTCCTGCTCCCCGCTCCAGTCCTTCCAAGGCTACCCCCACTCCCTCTCAAATTGCCATCCTTTTCTTTGGTTATTATTGTTATATATACATACACATATATGTATGCACACACACATATAATGCACTGAGATCATTTAGTGTTGCTTGTGTGTACATGTGTTTAGGGCTGACGACTTGGGATTAGAAACCTACCAGGGAGCTCATCCCTGGAGAAAACTGATCCTCCCTCCCTCAGCATCCACTGATCCTACTTGATCTTTACTCGTTGTATGTCCTTAGTCACCTGTGGTGTGGTATGGCTTCCAGACTTTCTTTGCTTTTGATGATGGTTTTGAGGAGCACTGACCAGGTACTTTGAAGACCGTCCCTCACTAGGGGCTTCCCTGATGTTTTGCTCATAGTCAGGAGTTGTGGATATCTGTAATGAAGAACAGAGGAAAAGCTCTCTTCTTATTCATTAGAGCCCCTAGTGAGGTAGGGTTTGGACAGGGTTTCATACTATAGCCCAGGCTAGCCTGGAGCTCACTATTCAAGCCAGGCTGCCTCATGACAATCTTCCTGCCTCAGCCTCTTAAGTGATGGATATATAGATGTGAGCCATCACACCTGGATAAAAG